TGCACCTTTCTACCTTGGACAAGTCCCTCAATCTCTCTTGGCCTGTTTCTTAATCTGTAAAATGAGGGGGCTAGGTGAAGATGGCATTTAAGGTCCCTTCTACTTCTAAATCTATGATCCTAGAAAATTGCTGCACTGAAATACAGTTATTCTTAGAAAAACATTTCAGTTCCATCCTGCTGCTTTCAAAGCCATCTAGATTTTTAGGGACACTTTGGAAATGATTACCTTTTTTCTGCCTTCAAAAATTGTTATTAGAAAAATCAATGTTATAAACTAATTATGAACAGTGTCTTGGTCTGGAATTAAAAGAGCTTCATTTGAATTGAGGAACTGTGTCTATGTTCTGCTTTCTCAGTAGGATGATGCCTCAGTGCCATTCAGAAGGTATTCAGAAGGTTGGATCATCTAGTAGCCTCAAGCATCCAGATTAAAAAGAGAGAGAGTAAAAAGCCAAAAGGAGCTAAAGACTCAATGATAATATCTGATGCAACGTGACTGTCCAAAAAAATCCCAGGGCTTTCTCATTGACTGCCCAAGCCTTTAATAGGCAAGCTGCTTTGCAAAGAAAGGCAAACTCCTGGGAAAAATAAGGAATGAAGACTGAAAAGCTAAGGCATAGGGGTCGGGGCAGAGAAGAGAGTAGGAAATGTCAGAACATTAGATTTAAAAAAAGCAATGGTGAGCAGCTGAAACTGACAATGAAGAGAAGTCAATCAGCCATGAAAATTTAAAAAAAATTCTCCATGAGGATGGAGCACCATTTGGCTCTGAAGGTCATCAGCGTGCCATGATGAAAGTGAAGTTATAGGAAAGGCTTGGGCTAGAGATGTGACCAGACAGCAGATTAGTCAGGTGAAAGCAAGCTTTAGTGAGGTTTTTTTGGAACTCTATCAGGAAATCTCCCAGTAAACGTATCGTTCAATATGAGCAGGCTCTCATCACTGGAAGTTTAGATCTCCTCCAATGAGTCCATGCCCAGGGAATGGCCCTTGAAGGCAAGAGGTTCTTAAACTAGGGTCCACAGATAAGGGGTCTGCAGATAGATTTCAGGGCAGGGTCCATGAATTTGTATGGGGAAAAAATGACATCTTTATTTTTGTTGTTGTTATGTCAATTTAGTTGTGTCTGACTCTTCATGACCCCATTTAGGGTTTTCTTTGCAAAGATACTGGAGTGGTTTGCCATTTCCTTCTCCAGCTCATTTTACAGATGAAGAAATTGAAGGAAACAGGGGTAAATGACTTGCCCAGGGTCACACTGCTAGTAGGTTATCTGAGGCTGGATTTGAACTCAGGTCCTCCTGATTCCAGGGCAGGGATTTATTCACTGTGCCACTTAGCTTTATTTTTACTAACCTCTAAATGCAATTTAGTATTTCATTTAAAAAGTGTTCTGAGAATGGGTTCATAGGCTTTACTGGACCACCAAAGAAGTCTGTCACATATCACTGCTCTGAGCAGATCTGAGGCCTCAAAAGCCTCAGGTTCATTATAGCAAGTCCTAAGCAAGATTTCATTTGGGAATCTTCCATGTCAATATCTCATGATTTTGGGTCCAGACCCTCTGGTGAAGTTCCTGGTACTTCACAGAAGTAAACTTCCTTTCTGACCTCTCCTCCTAACCGGATCAGAGGAAAGGCTCCTGGCAGACCCTGTATTCACACAGCCCAATCAATTCAACAAACATTTTTAAATTTTTTTAAAATAACTAAAAAAGGGGCTTTTGTGGAAGATGCATAGACATAGATTTCAGCTTCATGTAAAGAAAAAAAAATCCTAATAATTGCAGAGAGAATTCTCCATACCAATGAAATCCCAGGGCTGGACCAATTATAGAAGTTGTATTATAGAACAAGCGTTAAATTTAGAATTAGGGGACATATTTATTGTGATTTTCAGTACATGTTGACCTTTGGCAAGTCAGGTAATCCCTCTAGGCCTCAATGACTTCATCACTAAGATGATAATGATGATGATGATGATGATGATGATGATGATAGCTAACATTTATATTGAGCTTACTATGTGCCAGGCACTGTGCTAAGCACTTTACAGTTATTATCTCATTTGATGAAAGAATGTCACTTCTAAGGACCCTATAAGACTATGGAGATTTGCCGGCTCATCCTGAGAAACTAGAAGACTGTGTGTTATAAAGTCACGAAGACAAGCAGGAAATTAACAATAGTCAGCATTTCATTATTTTCCACCAACTTCTTCTCATCTTCAAGCTACAGGTCATGACAGTCAGTCAGTAAGCATTTGTTAAACACCTACTGTGTGCTAGGCACCATGCTAAACATTAGGATATGAAGAAATGCAAAAGTCCCTCAAGGAGCTCATATTCTAATCAGGATTTATTTGGGAGTGCTAGATTTGGAATGAGAAAGCCTTAGTTTCAAATCTGGGTTTTATTACTTACTACCTGTGTGATCTTAAGCAGATTGCTTAACCTCTCAGGGCCTCTCAGTTCCTCATCTGTAAAACAGACTAGATGGTCTCTCAGATACCTTATGATGACTAATGGAAATTTAGTATGTAGGACCATGACCCTAGGGATAGACATATATTCCTGGGACTAAAGGATGCTCAATCAAAGATTTCTGCTTTGTTTTCCATGATACTTAAAGCTTTAAGAGGGGAATTGACCTCAGTATAATACAAGAGAGGATGGGAGGAGGATATGATACATACTTTGTCCCTGGTTTCCTGGGGCTCATGAGCTAATAGAGAGAGAACATCCATTCTTCTCACATTCCCCACCTGTCCCTCTACTTACTAACTGTATGACCCTGGGCAAATCACTTAACCTCTGTTTGCCTCAGTTTTCTCAACTGTAAAATGGTGATAATAATAACTAATAGCTAATAATAGGTAATAAGCAATAGATAAAATAGAAAATAATTGCAGCATTGTTGTGAGGATCATAAGAGAATATTTGTAAAAAGCAGTTAATACATTGCTCAGCATCTAGTAGGCACTATATAAACACTTATTCCTTTCCCTGTAGAAAAGAATGCCCAGACACTTTGTGTCATAGAAGAGATTCTCTGACACTAGATGATAAATGTATGCAGAGGGTCGACTGAAAAGCCTGATGCTGGAGACTTTTCAAACTACATTCTCCAAAGCACGTCTACTCTTAATGCAGCCATACAGAAATAGGTTTGTACAACACTGAAATTTTCAGTAATTAACTCCCTTTTGTTCAAGAGCAATGTTAACCATAGCAAGGTGTCAACTAGTTTAACTGAGGAAAATCCAAAATGCTGGAGTTCACAATGTAAGCCTCTTAAGCTTCCAACAGTATATCATCCTAGAAAGAACCCTAGATCCCAAAAGCTAGAGATCTGTGCTTCAAGATAGATTAGCAGTGACATTCACTTTTCATGTGAACTTAGGCAATTAAGTCTCTCTGAATTCAAGTTTTTCCATTTGTGAAATGGGACTAGGAGGGCTGGACCTTATCTTTCTTACAGGTATCTCAGCGATGTCGAACCAAAAAAAAACCCCATAAAAACCAAAAAACAGTCAGATAGGGTAATAGATAGAGCACTGAACTTGGAATCAAGAAGACCGAAGTTCAAATCCAGCCTCACTAGCTGAAAAGTCACTTAACTTCTATTTACCTCAGTTTCTTTGACTGGAAAATGGGGATAATAATAGCACCCTCCTCCCAGGGTTATTGTGAGGATCAAATGAGGTGGCATTTGTAAAATCCTTAGCACAGTAGGCACTATGTAAATATTAGCTATTATTATTGCTGTCGTCATTATTAATTCTTAAATTGTACTATTTTGGGGGTGCAGGGAAGGCATAGGTAAATATAAGCTAAAAGGAAAAAAACACCCTTTGGCATGGAACAATTAATAACATTCAATTGCCTGCTATGTGCCAGGCACCATGCTAATAATAAATAATAAATAATAAATAATAAAATAAGGAAGTCTCTGTTTTCAGGGTGCTTACTTTCTCAGGTGAGACAATACAGGGTGTTCCAAAAGTCTTAGTGTAGTTTAAGCTTTAATGACTTAAACTGAACTAAAACGTTTGAGTTACCCTGTATAAGTACACATGACAAATACAAGGTTGTTTTGGAAGAAGGGCACCAGCAGCTGGGAGGATCAGAAAAGGCTTCATATAGAAGATGGATTATGAGCTGAATTTTGAAGGAAATAATGGATTTGGAGGTGAAGGGAATGGTGGAGGATATTCCAAGCATTGAGGACAGTCAGTACAAAGGCTTGGAGATAGGAAACGGAGCATTATTTGTGAAGAACAGCAAGAACACCAGGTTGGCAACCCTCAAAACACGCACATTAATTTGTTGCTTCTGGTGGAATCTTTTTTATATAATAAAAATTAAAACACTTTTTTCCCTAAGAAGTGGAATCCCATCTGTGACATCTCTAGAAGATTCAGAAAGATGAACTAACTGTGAAACCCCATAAATAAATGTCCTTTTGGATCATGATGTCAAGGAATGAGTGGTTAATGAGGGAAAAAAAGGCTCTTTGGAATAAAACTGAGGCTACTTGAAAGTATAAGATCCCAAAGATGACAAATAACATGTAGGTTTTCCAGGACCTGGAATTATTATCTTAGGGTTATAAGGATACCAAAAAAACTCACATACCACAAATCCAAGTAATGTGAACAATGACTTCCAGAGATTAACAATGGATTATGGTCTCAGTAATTTACAGGATACACTAATGGGGAAAAGGGAAGAAATGAACACTTGTAGCTTCTTGTGTGTCTAACACACCAACAGAGTACAAGTGGGCAAATATGGAACTCACAACTGGAATGCACCAATGGAAGGATGTAGATTGCTCCAAAGAAAGCAGTGTAATAGTATTATATGTTACAGGGTGCAAACTGGTGTGGAAATATATGAACCTGAAAGTAGAATCTTGGTGGAGAGTGTCTAGATGAAAATAAAAGGTGAGAAAAACACAAGTGACATCATCAGATTGATTACTACAGACTGCTTACCTTTATGGAAGAAACACAACGAATCACAAAACCTGAGAGTCAGAAAGGACCTTAGAGGCCATCTGGACCTAAGTGGCATGGTAGAGAGAGTATTAGGTCTGGAGTTAGGAAGACCTGAGTTCGAATCCTGCTCAGACACTTACCAGCTATGTAACCCTAGACAAGCCAAATAATTTCTCTCAACCTCAGTTTTTTTTTAAAATCTGTAAAATGGGAATAATAACAGTACCTACCTCATATGGCCACTGAGAGGATCAAACATGCAAGGCATTTTGCAGACGTTAAAGTGCTATAAAAATACTAGCTATCATTATGATTGTGATTATCTAGTCCAACCCATACATGAAAGGAATTCCCATTATAACATACCTGACAAGTGGTTCATTTGCCATCCAATGGAAATGCAATTATTGGCCAAGTCTTTTTGATTCTACCTCCATGTCTTAGATCTGTTCCCTTCTCTCTGCCCATATACTCATTTGAAAAAATGCGCCACCCATATAATGAGAGGTAAGGATTACCTTTCGGGAGTCTGAGGGCTTCCCATAGGTATCTATAAAATACTGAAAGAATCATACCTCTTATTCTAGGCCTTCATCCCTCTCCCATTGATTACTGCAATAACCTTTTATTTGGTCTTCTTGTTTCAATTCTTTCTCTAACATGCTGCAAAACAAAAGCTTCTTGATTTTGGCTATATGCTATCATACAATAGGAAAAATGGAATTATTTTTCTCCAGAATGATTTTGCTATGATTAGTTGTGGAAATGAAAGAATGCCAAGACTCTGTAGAATAATGAGACTTGTCTCAAGGTCAAGATAAATTTTCTTGGTTCAGATAATATGCACATAAACCTACTTTCAAATAGCTATTGGACTCACTTGCTCCTTCACCTACCTGCTGAGACCCAAGTTCATAGTTCATCACTTCATGTCCCAAGACCAGGGTTCTAGCTTTTGGAATTTCTCCTATAAATGTGTTGAAAAAAACACAAAACAAAACCAGGATCATTAATGGCTACAAAGCTACCATTTTATGTACCTTGTATATATTTAACCACCTTGACTATTTACTTTTACCTCTCTATATACAATGTGTATATTCTTGAAAGTAAATATTTAAAATGCACATGGGGAGAGAAGGAATCTTTTATGCAAAATCATTTGTAAAGATGAAAAATCCTTTTCTAATATAATTCATCATCTCCAGTTTACCTGTTCGGCAAGTTTTAATTATTTATACTATCTTAAGGTATTTTATCCCCATATTGGATTATATATTAGCTTCAGAATACAAGACAAACCTATAGAATTGAAGAGGCTAAAAACAAAAGCTTCTTGATTTTGGCTATATGCTATCATACAATAGGAAAAATGGAACACACAATTCTTTTGCCATAAGATATATCACAGCCTTACCTATTCATGTTTAGCTTAGCTCTTTCAGCCTTCCTAAATCACTGAATCAACTCTATTATTCTCTATGTAATATAAAAGTTATCTAATTCTTACATAGCAGTTTAGAATTTAATATTTAAACTTAAAAAATATCACTCCAGGACTTATACTATGAGAAATGCAGCCTAAATTTTTAGATTCACTCTATAAATAATTCTGTTCTCTTCTCTATTTTCAGGCTTCCCATTTCCATCCTTCTTCCCTTTTCATTGTTCTGTCTACTCAACCATTTTAGAGATGTAACTAACAAGTGTCAATAGTCCTGCTTATTTAATACTTTCTTGTATTTCTGCTGTTTAGTTTTGCCACTAATCCAAATTTAAGGAAAGATTTTAAAAATCTTTTCAAACTCCTAACTCTATTTTCTTCAGTGCATCAAGACAGAAGGTATAAGAATCTTCTTTAGCATCCTAAACCAGGAACTGGTAAGCCAGGGGTTTCTTAACCTGGGGTTTGTAAACTTACGTTTAAAAAACAAAATTTTTGATAACTGTATTTCAGTGTAATTGGTATCATTTGTAATCCTGAGTATTTTATGTTATACATTTTAAAACATTATTCAAAGAAGAGGGTCCAAGGCCTTCATCAGCTTGCCAAAGGGGTTTATGGAACAAAAAAGTTAAGTCCCTGAGACCTAAGCCAAGATCAAATTTGCCACTGCCGTGTTTAAAAGTATCAATTACTCAGGGGCAAGAGGAGTCTAGGGGAAAGAGGGCAACTATGCCCTTTTTAAACCTAATAGAATCACTGAAAAACAGGGAAGAAAGTAAGAGGTAAGGCCCATACATCAAAACCCCCTCTATGGAAATAGGAAATTGCATTGAGTCTCTTGAGAAAAAAAGCCCACAATACCCAATACCCAAGGTATAAAGTGCCCTGAGACCTCCTTCAATTAACTCACCTGAATCCAGCAAAAACTGCCTTATGTGTCTTCTTTTCTGAAGTCTGTTCAGGTCTGGAGGGGAGAAAAAAGGACTCACAGACCTTGGCAAATTTGCTTTGTCTTCCCTCCTTGAAATATCTCCTTAAAATTTATGTTCCCACCTCAAAACTTTGAAGGGTGCCCCTTGCTTGTCAACTGGAATGAAGCACTCCTGGCAGATAACATGAATTTCCAGCAATTCTTTCTCTTCCTCCTTTTGCCAAAAAGTAGATATTAACTGGCTTATGGAAGGGTACACTGGCCCCCACCTCCCCTTTTTAACTCACTCTAACCTCCACATTAGCACCAAAGGGAAGATTTACCCTCCCTCTCGCCGCCCCCACCCCTTTCCAACCTTCGCCACACAACTACAGATGTAAATTTTTCAGTCAAGAAAGAAAGAAATTTTTGATATTCTGCTAATTTGTAATTCCACTGATCGCACCATTCCACGGCAAGGATCCCTCCTTATTGCATAATTAATACTACATTCATCTAAAAGCATTAAAAAAGAATTATGAAGAACTAAGACAATGAGAAGCCCGAGAATCTCTTCTCAAGAAAAGACTGAATTATTCGTCCCTCTTCCCACCCCTTTCTCCTCTCTTATAAAGGTATGAAAAACTAATCTTTCCCCTTCATTTAATCCCAGCTCCCTCCCCCCCCGCCCCACCCCTTCATTTATGGGCTGCTACCCCCTCCCCCATTCCGACCTCTTTGTGCACGGAAGGCATCACCCGGCATCTCCCAAAAGCTGCATCCCTGTTTGTGAAAATCCACTTTCCCAGGTCCCTCGCTTTCTAGTCCCAGGGCTCACTAGGGGCGGCCATGCGTATTAAATGGGTGGGGGGAGGGGGTCACCCCGGGTCTCTCTCGCTTCTGTGCTTTCGTTCAGCAGAGGTTCCCCAGGGAGAATGCAGTTCTTTCCCGCCGCCAAGCAGTCCCTCTTCCCAGCACGCCATCACTCCCCTCCTCTCCCCTCCCTTCCTGCCATGCCCTGGCCCCTGGCTGGGGGCCACGTACTGGGAGCCGAGTGCTGCGGAAGGAAGCGCAGACAGGGGCGTGGAAACCTCCTCCACTTACCGCTCCGCATCTGCTCCTAGTCTGTCTCCGCTACCCTGCTGTCAACCCCACGCCAGGAACAGCGGCGGAGTTGCAGCAGAGGCGGCTCCGGGGCCTCAGTGGCTCTGCAGCCGCGGCCTCGCTGGCCACTGAAGGCTGTGCAGGCGGAGGCGGCGGCGGAGAGATGCTGCTGTAGCTACCGCCGCCGCCTCTGACTGCATCATCCCCGGTCCCGCCGCCGCCGCAGCAGCAGCCTCCACGCTGCCTGCTCAGTTGCTGCCTCTCGCTGATCTCTCGCAGTCTGGCCGTCCTCTCCCCACCCCCGGCGGCACCCTCGGGGTCGCGCTCGCAATGGGCCCTAGCTCCCTCCCACCGCCCCCAGAGGCGGCCCGGAGCGCCCGAGGGAGCGGGGTGGGGGGGGGGGCTGGCCGTAGCAGCCGAGAGCTGAACTTGCCTGCCCGAGCTCTGGCCTCCCCAGCTTCCAGGCTTGGGCCTGGGCGCACCGGCCCAGCTCAACACCGGCTTCAAAGCTGGTATGAGCCCAATTCTGCTGATTCCTGTGGTCAAGAGGTCCCGCTTTACAGCCCCAGCCTCCTCCCCAAGCAGGAGCTGGGGGAGAAAGACAAAACATTTTTTATACATTTATTTATGGGGGTGTGGAGGTGTTGGGGTGTGGGGGTAGGGGTGGTGGTCCTAGTCGGGTTGTCACTGAGAAGACTTAAAAAAAAAAGAAGAAATTGTCACAAAGTTTCAGCTTAGGCCGGATTGGAGGGATTTCAAACAGGCGCAGCTCAGTTTTCACTCCTTCCTCCTCCTTTCTCCTCCCCTGTTCCTCTTCTTTCTATTCAACAGGATAAACGATCAGATTTGCAGCATCTGAGTTCAGGACACATGAAAAACAGAATTCCAGCAGTTTCAGGGAGGGTTAGTGTTTCAGAGGCTACACCATAAAGGAAGCTCGAAGTGCAGGTGCGGCATAACGTCGGTGCACTTCTTTCCTAAGGATTTCATTGACTATTAGAGCTGGAAAGGACTTTGGGTTCAACAGCTTCATTTTACAGATGAAGAAGCCGAGGATCCCTTCCTCTCTTCCCCAGAAGCTTAAATGACTTGCCCAAAGCCACTCAGCCACTTGGTGGATGATTTTTTTTTTGACATATGTAAGAAGGAGAAAAGTGAGAAATAAAACTTGAGAATGACTTTTATATTTATTAAATGCGCATGATGGATTTACTTTTTAGAACAAATAAAAGTCATAGTTCTTTTCCTTTACACTCTAAGAATTTTAAAGGATGGGCATGTTTTTTCAATTTTTTTTTGTTGCTGTTTTAAAAATTTGTTCCATTTCCTCTTTCGTATAAGTGGGCAGAGAAAAAAAAAGGTTAGTTCACCTGTTAACTTGAGGGGAAAAAAATGTTATTTTTAAACCCAAGAGAGGCATTATGGTGTACTAGAGAAAGAGGGCCTTGAATTCTGGAAGATGTTTCTTCTAGTCCTACATTTGGCTCACAATCACTTTGACCAACTCTCAAGGCCCCCAAAGCAACCCTCTAAGACTATAAATTGCAAAGCAATTTTCAGTTCCCATTGCTATTGAGAGTTTCTTCACCAAGAATTTACCTACGAAGTTAAAACATTGGTCCTGACACACACAAAACACCAAACAAAACTTCAATGATAAAAGACAAAGGTCCAATAAATATGAATACATTCCCTGGAGTCTTCTCTAGGGCTACCAACTTGAGTTGGTAATTGTGAGGAGATGCTAAATTAAGCAACCTTAAGAGAAACCAAGCAAAGGATCATAGATCTACTGTTGAAAGAGACCCCTGGCATCTAGTCCAACTCTCTAATTTTACCAATGAAGAAACTGAGACTCATAGAGGCTTAAATAAGTGACTTGCCCAAGGTCACACAAAGTTTGCATTTGACCTCAGGTCCTATGATTTCAAGTTTAAAGGGCATTATGTTTTGTAATATGATATATAATAATTATAATTATATATAACAAGTTACAACAACTAGATAATAGCCTGCCCCCTCCTTCCTACCTTTCCAGGCTTAGGTATTTTGATTCAGTGACAATGGCCTCCTTGCTGTTTTTTTTTACTTTTTTTAAATTTATGGGATAAAACAAGCATTTTCATAACATAGTATAATAAAAGAGATGATTGCACATGAAACCGCAAATCTATTATAAACTTGCTATCCTTTTAAATACACAACAAAGCTATCATGTAAATTTTTTTCCTTCCCCCTCCCCCATGGCCACCATTAGACACAAATAGGTATATATTTGTAAAATTATTCTATACATACTTCCATTTATCAGCTCTTTCTCTGGGTGCAGATAGTGTCTTGCTTTATGTGTCCTTTATAGTTAATTTGGGTATTTATAATAGCCCAAATAATTTATTCGCTCAAAGTCATTAAAATAATGTTACTTACAAGGATCTAAGACAATTCCAAAAGACTCATAATGAAAAATGCTATCTACATCCAGAGAAAGAACTATGGAGTCTGAATTCAGAGTTAAGTATACTATTTTCTCTCTTTTTTCTTTTTGTTTTTCCTTTCTCATGGTTTTCCCCTTTGGTTCTAATTCTTCTTTACAACATGACTAATGTGGAAATAGGTTTAATATGACTGTACATGTATAGCCTATATCAGATTGCACACCATCTTGGGGAGGGAGAACAGAAGAGGAGGAGAAAAAATTTAGAATTCAAAATCTTATAGAAGTAAATGTTGAAAACTAAAAACAAATAATAAAAAGAAAAGAAAAGAAAAATATTGTTGTTACTATATACAACGTTCTCTTTCACTGTTTCACTCTTGATTATTTTGTGCAAGTCGCCATGTTTTTCTGAGATCATTGAACTCATCATTTCTTATGGCACAGTAGTATTCCATCACAGTCATATAAAACTTGTTCACTAATTCCTCAGTTGACAGGCATCCTCAAAATTTCTAGTGGATATAAACATTTTAGAACATATAGGTTCTTTTCCTTTTTCCCTAATCATCTTTGGAAATAGACTAAGTAGTGGTATTGCTGGATCAAAGAGTACAGGTGGTTTAATAGCTCTTAAGGCATAATTCCAGAGTGCCCTCTTAAATGGTTGGGTTGGTTTACAATTCCACCAACAATGAATGGTCCCAATTTTTGTACAACCTTTCCAACATTTGTCACTTTCTCCATCTATCATTTTAGCCAATCTGATAGGTATAAAATGATCTTAAGGTTGTTTTAATTTTCATTTGTCTAATCAATAATGATGTAGAGCAATTTTTCATATGAACCTAAATTGTTTTGATTTCTTCATTGGAAAACTACCTATTCATATCCTTTGACCATTTATCAATCGGGGAATGACTTATATTCTTACAGACTTGACAGAGTTCTAATAATATTACATTCTATCTCTCTGATCGGGACATTTTTCTCTGGCCCTCTCTCATTCCTGGAATGTTCTTTCTCTTCATCTGGGCCTTCTAGCTTCCCTGACCTCCTTAAAATCCCAACTCAAATCCCAACTTCTACAGGATGCCTTTCCTGATCTCTCTTAATTCTACTCCCTTCTCTCTTTTAATGATTTCATATTTATCCTGTATATAGCATGTTTGTACACGTTTGTTTCCTGTGTATCTCTCCCATTAGATTGTGAGCTCTTTGAGAGTAGACACTGTCTTTTGCTTCCTTTTGTATGTCCCAGTTCTTAGCATAGGCCTGGCACATAATAAGTGTTTAATAAATGTTTATTTACTGATTTAGAGATGAGCAGAAATCACTCTAAGCCTATTATTAAGTTTATTGGGGTCATCACATCCAGAGGCTGTTAGTGGAGAGAGGGGTGATATGCTAAAGGAAAGGCAGAGGCAACCATTAGTATGTGCCTGGGGCATTTGCCAGCTTAGAGCATTATGCAACTTAACAACAATTAAGGCTTTTTAAATTTCTCTCTTCATCTTTTAAATCAGAGGTTCTTAACCTTTTCTATGTCATGGACCTCTTATGCAGTCTGGTGAAGCCTATGGACCCCTTCTCAGAATAATGTTTTTAAACGCCTAAAATAAAATACTTCGGATCACAAAGGAAACCAATTGTATTGAAATAAGTAATCAAAATATTTAAAGAACAGTAACAAGTTAATGCACCTCTGGTTAAGAGCCTCTCAATATGATGCTGCCTTTTCATACTAGTAGTGAGCTTTTTTTTTTTTCTCCTCCAACTCCACATCAGGGGGCAGAAAGGTTCCTTATGGCTTAGCTAGAGGCGTAGGCAAGGAGGACTTTCTAAAAAACAAGAGAACCTAAACTGTCATTTCATGGTGGATGGTGGGCCTCCAATGATGAACTGATTTCTTGTGTTCTATAATTCCCCTGTACATCCAGGTCTTATAATTACTTCTTAGCTATGCTAGATTTTAAAGAGAATTTGGAAAGGACTTGCAGAGGGTTAATGATGATGATGATGATAGCAACTAGCATTTAAATAGCATTTTATGGTTTGCGAAGCACTATATAAATAGCCCATTTTATCTTCACAATAACCCTGAGAGGTAAGTGCTATTATTATCCTCAACTTTACAGATGAGGAAACTGAGGTAGGCAGATGTCAAATGATTTGGGTAGGGCCACAGACCAGGTTAGGATCAAGTTTTTGTTTTTATTTTCTTTTTGTTTTGTTTTTAATTTTAATTTTTTTGCCTTTAGGCATTTGGGTTAAGTGACTTGCCCAGGGTCACACAGCTAGTAAGTGTTATGTGTTTGCTCTGAGGCCGGATTTGAACTCAGGTCCTCCTGACTTCAGGGCTGGTGCTCTATCCATCGTGCCACCTAGCTGCCTCCCAGGATCAAGTTTTTCTGACTCCAGGTCTAGGAAGCTATCAATAGCCCTGCTATCTCAACCAGTCCTCCTCTTTGAGCCTACTACAGCATAAAGATGCTGAATTTCTTAGATGGCTGATAGCCAGATACAAAACAATTCAGTTCAATTAAATAAGCATTTATGGAGAGTCAACCATATGTAAAATTTTGAGTAATTTAGACCTGGCTCTAGGCCTCAATCTGCTAGCAATTAATCTGCTATGTGATGGGTGATTCACAATCTCTTTGGGTCTCAGTTTCTATTCTGTAAAAATTGAGTGTGAAATTAGATGGTCTTGAAGGTTCTTTGCAACTAAATTAAGTGCATCAATGCCATCAGATAACTTCAGATAGCCAAGACCTTCCCATTTGTGAGATATCTCTAATAATTTGAGATTTCTATTAAAGGCATAATGCATGTAAAAAAGCACTTTTTGTTGTTATTGTTCAGTCTTTTTTTCAGTCCTGCCCAACTGTCTGTGATCCCATTTGGGGTTTTCTTGGCAAATGTACT